ATTTTCTGTTACCATTTGAAGAAAACTGCTGCAGAATTGCATCGAATGCTTGTCGAAGCTTACGGTGAGCATGCTCTTGGTAAATCACAGTGCTTTGGCCGGTATTCATAGTCAGATCCAGGGAATGGAAGTAACTCGTTACTTATAACGAAGTTACAGTTACAAGTTACTTTTTTGGTAACTTTACTAGTAACTGCGTTACTTTTTTTCTTTGGTAACTGTAACGGTAACGAAGTTACATTTTTTTGGTAACGGTAACGAATTTTACGGTTACGTTTATCGTTACTTTGCACATGATGGACACGATACGACACAAGCCACTTACACTGTAAAAAAATTTCGTAAATTTACACATATAATAAATATAAAATAGATTACATAATTAGTTCTGTAAATATAAAAAATCATGCAATTTTACAGAAATTACAGTAATTCCACAAAATTTATGTAAATTTGTTTTTATTGTGTAAATATATCTTATTTTATATTAGAAATTATAGCAGGATATTTTGAATATTTTCTGTAATTAATTATCCAAATTTTAGTAATATTACGTAACATAAAAGAAATTTTTCGCGTATTGTTAAATGTATAATAATATATAGTGCGAAATATATTGTCATATTATCGTTCTTGTAGCTACACATATACACATTGTAATTGTATTTTCACAATCTGTTTAGTTCCAAACAAAGAAATTATTTTTATTTGCATATTGCAAATTTACAAATGTGTGGACGTTTACAACTATTATAGTGGATCTCAAAATTATCCAGCATAATAGTTATAATTTTACACAATTTTTTACAATGCGCTTGAGATTAGAGAAGCCTCTAGGCTCGTCCGCTATGATTGTTGGTCGTCGATTTAAAAAAAAGTAACGGAAAAGTAACGAAAAGTTACTTTCTCAAATAACGGTAACTGTAACGAGTTACTTTTAAAAATCGGTAACTAGTAACGGTAACTTGTTACTTTTCCTACTCGGTAACGAGTAACTGTAACTTGTTACTTTTAAAAAGTAACTTTCCATTCCCTTGTCAGATCCTATATTCAAGACTGTCTTAAGTACGGTCTTAAGAAGTCACAAACCAATCAGGCTGCATTAGCGTCTTAAGACATTACTTAAGACGATCTTGAAATAAGACTCTACTATGAATACCGGCCTTTGAGTGGTTTAAAAAATTCAAAAGTAGCGATTTTGACGTGAGAAACGAAGAAAACCACCGAAAAAGTTTGAAGACAGCGAATTGCAAGCATTGTTGGATGAGGATGACGCTTAAACTTAACAACAACTCGCGGATCAATTGAATGTGACACGAGAAGCCGTCTCCATACGTTTGAAATTCATGGGAAAGATCCAGAAGGTGGGAAAATGGATTCCACATGAACTGAATGAAAGACAGCAGAAAAACCGAAAAACCACTTGAGCGAAATGCTGCTCGCCAGGTACAAAAGAAAGTCATTTCTCCATCGAATTGTGACTGGCGATGAAAAGTGGATATATTTTGAGAATCCTAAGCGTAAAAGATCATGGGTAACTCCAGGCGAACCATCGACATCGACTGCAAGGCCAAATCGCTATGGACGGAAGACAATGCTCTGTGTTTGATGGTTATTAACAATAAACGTGTATCTTCTATATTAAAAAATTCCGGTTTCATATTTACATACCTGGTACATATAATTATACTAATGCGGACGCAATTCATAAGTACGCTGCATCAGAACTACACAAATCCTTAAGTAATAATTTTAAAGCCGTTTAAATGAACGCATGGGTCCGCTTGACCATTGCTGATACATCCCAAATTTAACCTAAAACTGATAGTTTGTGTTACCCTTTGTTTTTACTGTGACATACAAGTTACAGCTAGATTACAGCTATTTTGACTATAAAGTTATCATATATGTGCTTTTACAGGCAAAATAGATGTGACTTTTTTATGAGCTATTACAGCGACTGTACAGCTACCAATGTAGTTGAAATAGCAGTGGCTTCATTTGAACTTTTTTATTAGCTGCCACAGCGACTGTACAGCTATCAACACAGCCAAAATAGCTGTGGCTGCATTTTTATATTTTTGTTAGCTGTCATACTGATTGTATATAGCTATTAATACAGCTACAATAGCTGTAGCTGCCAAATGGTTGTAATTACACGCAAAAAAAGGACTTACTAATATCAGTTGCTGGTTCAAACTTTGCTATTATTGATAAAAGTTGGCTATTGAAGAAACACATTTGCTGCCGACTTCAATGTTATTAGTTAAAATTAAAAGCATGCTTAACATGAGTAGATAAGTAAGTGGCAGCTATTCGTCACTTAGTCCAGTAGAATTAGGGTTTTTTCGCAGAAAAATTGTAATTAAGCATTTCTCTCGACAAAAATGTTTGGAAGGCCATTAAAAAAGGAATGTATACGTTTGAAACTCGCAACTTGTGTGGGAAATATGCGAAAAAAATTCGAATAGTTGCAAAAGGCAGGTTTTTCGCTTATAAAACGAAAGCTGTCGATTGTATGGAAAGAAGTTCAGTATGAAAAATGTAGGTATTCGAAATACCTACAAAATGAGATGTGGAACATTAAGATCGGTCTATT